GAACCAATGAAACAACTACCTCGATGATGCCAACAATTACCGAAAGAGATGAGAAAAAGTTTCAATGGTTTATTGCTACAGTGACAGTGGTTCCTGCCGGACTTACCTTTCTCGTTTAGTCATTTCCTGTTGTGTTCCGGTTTGTCTTGGATGCTTTTAGTGGATGGCATTTAAGTCTTAAAATCATATTCCCTTGTTAACTTCGATTTTTGATGAGTAATTTTGATGAGTTCCTAAGTATTAACATCTGTAGCTGTTGTTTTCGCCAACGGTCATCCCTTATTAAGTCTATTATTAGTGTAAACCGGAAATTGATTGATTACGGGAAATGTAAAAATATAATATAGGATTCTGTTGTCACTCCAGACATAAAATTATATCACTCATATATTGACATTTATGATTATACTCAGCGTGAGACTGTTTTAAACCTAAAACTATTATATAGTAAGCTTTGATGGATCTACTGAAAGCTAGTATGTATCCTGATTTCATATTCTGAATGTTCTTTGAAAATGCAACTTGCCTAATTGGCAGATGAGTCACAAAAAAAGGAGATTGATTCGAATAAGGGAATGATAGTTAATAGAAGTTAATAGAAGAATGGATAGATGTATCTGTTGATTGAATTGAATTTATTTCACTTCAGATAAAATTTCTTAATTCCTATTCAGAATTACCTTTAATTTCTATCTAATCTTTATTTCACTTGTATAACTTGTTTTTGTCTTTTCTAAGCAGAGTTTTGGCTTCAATTCTGCATAACATTTTAAAACGGTGGCGAAATAATCAGAAGTCAGCATATCGGTATAATGAGATGTAATTACTTTTAGATAAGTGAAAACAAAACTTTGATTTTGAAATGGCTGTAGGCGGAGCACAACAAATGGAACTAGATGATGCGCAACAATATTCTGGTGCTGCAGGTGCTTCTGGCAAAGAAAAGAAACGTTTTGAGGTTTTCTTTTTTTAAGCTTTCTATTCTTTTATCTTTTGCTAACGTAAGAAAATAAAAACTCAAACTATATAATTCCAATATTTAGTTTTATCCAACATCAAATTAAGGTTTAGAGTATTTCATATTGTTTACTTCATATTTTGCATATTTTGATATTGTCTAGTCACTGCAAATAAGCTAGATTTTAAATAAATTCGTGGGAAGTTGTTTCGGCTTATTTTAACTTCATTCTTAGAAGTTGTTTTAGATGATGAAAATTTATTCAATCAGTAAAAGTTTTTTTTTTTTTTTTCAATATGAAATTTTAGGTGAAGAAATGGAATGCAGTGGCGTTATGGGCTTGGGATATAGTTGTTGATAATTGTGCTATTTGTCGGAATCATATTATGGACCTCTGTATCGAATGTCAAGCAAATCAGGTAAATTTGTTGCTTTCCATTTTTCCAGTAACTTTCCAAAGGTGCAGTTTTTTGTGTTTTCATTTTTTGATCGCATCATAGCATATTGCAAAGATGAATTTAGCGTAAGCTAAAGCATAAGCTATTGTTGATCATATTTTTTAGGATGTTCAATTGTTCAAACTGTTTATTTGAATCATTTTTAGGCTTCAGCAACTTCTGAAGAATGTACTGTCGCATGGGGTGTATGCAACCATGCATTTCATTTTCACTGTATTTCACGTTGGCTTAAAACACGTCAAGTTTGTCCTCTTGATAATCGGGAATGGGAGTTTCAGAAGTATGGTCATTGAATGCATACCTTTAAAAGCCGGTAGTGTATTTTTGATCTGATGCTCTCTTTTCGCAACCTTTTTACTGACTTATTATCATGTACTGATCTACAAATTACTTTAATTCATACTTGTAAAATTCAAATGATATTGCAGAATGCAAGATTATATGAGTTGAATTGCAATTTTTATACTTTAGCAAACCATATTTTAGCGATCTGTTAAAAGTGGAAAATATTAGTATTTGTTGCCAAGATTTTTCAATGAATGTCTTAGGAAAGTTAAAGTGCACATATTGAAAATTTTTCAATTTCTGTGTTATTGCTCTCTTCTTGAAGTGAATTTTGGTGCTATGTATTAAGCACAACTTATTCCATATGATGAATTATATTTGATTGGTTTTATGATTAGTTGACATGAAGTGAATTCTTTCTTTTTTTTCGTATTTCACATTCAGGGTTTTCTGGTTTTCTTTTATTACATAAAAACGGAAAGTGAAAATTTCATTCCAAGTGTTATTTGCATGAATTTTAAGTGCATTAATTAGAGTATTGAGTAAACGAAGTAAATGATAAACAAATTGATAATATATGTTAAATATTATCATAGAAATTTACGATGACGTATAGTTATACGTATGTCCTTACAACTTCATTCGTTTGCATACATGCAAAGAGAATATCTTTAGTTAATTCAAATTATAATTGCTGCTTCTAAAGTCTTTAATAAGTTGATAGCTTTTAATTAACAAATTTCATGTATATAACTTTCAAAAATTCTTAAAATTTAAACAATTTAAATTTAAAAATTCTTAACATTTTGCTAATCAATGATGCTAAGCGGTTGGTTAACAAATTTGCAATATTATGTAATAATACCTGAAATAGTATATCTTTCGGAATTATTTCCACATATTGCGGTTGATTCAAGTACAGCAGCTACGTTACCATTAGCAAATGAAGTTCGAGATCAGGCTAGTTATTATCATGCTTTTTGTGGTTAGCACTTGCAAAACTAAGTGTTTTTAGGAATATTTTTATTATCGATCCATCATTCAAACAATTAATCATATCATTTGCAAGAAATCATTGTTCTAATCTCCATTTATAAGATAATTGTTAGACTTGGTATTGATTATTTAATTGGTTTTATTACAACAATCCTTTAGCAATCTGAAAGTTTTTTATTTAGTTTTAATATTTCCAACAACTATTTTGAAATCATCATAGCATTTTTATATTAGCATTATAAAAATCGTACGAAAAGTAGAAACAATTTTTTTTGGCATCGCTTTTATTGCAATTCATCAAATTACCTCACATAATCCTAGACTATGATGTATTACTTGTTTTAGTTTAAATCATTTTCTTAGTCAATTTACAAATCCGAAGTGAAATCTCTTCCTGCTCTGTCTAACATACATGTAAAGTGGAAAGAACGAATATTATTAATATATAAACAAAAATAACTTATATTGAATAATTTTCAATTTTGGAATAAAAATTTATTTTATTTGCAATAGATATTTAGTAAAATTGTTAAATATTAATTAGGAGCCATATTGCATGTGGAATAGTAATGATCAAAGTGCTTTAAATTTTAAAGAACGTGACATACCAATCGCTTTGATATTTACCATTGATCATAATTTAACACCAACAAAGGTAAATACATATGATTCTATCATTCTAACAATTAATTAACAGTGATTGAATTAATGATTACTGATAATAATAATGAAAGATTAAATTTAAAACAAAAACTGGTTTTAGCTATAATTTTTTTTTTCGGTATTTCGTTCATTTTTTTTAAATAAATTTTTTATATTTTATCATTAATAATTGTTAAGAAAAATAAATGATGCAATTAATTTTTTTCTTTTTTTTTTTTTTCAAAATATGTAGAAGATTTATTATATAGCTAATTTAATGTTTTACTCATGGAACAATAAATTAAACATAAAATTAATAAAATAAATTGATATTTCAACAATTTAACTGAACATATTCTTGATTTTTTTCTTTTTTTTTCTGATAAATTTGTGGTAAAAACAAATCGATTAAAAAATTAATAATAATAATTATTATTGTTTCTTTTTTAATAAGTGAAAATGTATAAAATTTTAATTTTACAAGTGATAATTATTAATTTAAACAGTTAAAACAAGTATTGGATATATATCATGCTATAGCTTGTTTATTACCAAATAATTCCAATTATTTATATGCTGCTGTTTTACATTTACCCAAAAATCCAAAATTATATTTTGGCAAACTTTTAAACATACAAAAATTACATCAAAGTTTTGAGGATTCTGGTGAAGCTACTAAAGGTAAATTACTTTGTATAAAATTAAAGAAAAAATTGAGAAGAAAAAAACAAAAACAATTTTTGCAATTTTACCTTTTTGTTTTTTAATTATTGCCACTGAATGAATTAGTGGATGAATAAATGAATGATCGACTGATTGAATGGTTGATTGATTGATTGATCGAATGAAAAATCGATTGATTGGTTGATTGATTGTTAAATGAAGTGTCAAATATATTATATTAAAAACTGTCAAACATATTACACTGAAAGGATAAATTATGATTTGAAGATGACAGAAAAATCCGGAATGATCCATGCTCAGTTATCCGGCAAACAATCAATGTAATAAACAAATGGATAACAAAAATATTTTTTTATGAAAAAGTTGTCAAACATATTATATTGATAAATGATCGTACTGATCAGTGTATAATACCTAGAGATTTGCATAGAACTTATCATAAAGGTTACTCTGATAAAAATAATTTGCATATTAATTATTGAATAAAATTTAAGTGATTAAATTGTTAGATATAAGTTTTCCATTTTAATTTATAATTTTTAATTTTATTTAATCAATTCTTCATTATGTTTCTTTTTCCTTAGTGATAAATATGAAAAATTAATGTAAGCAATAAATTGTTGTGTTAAAAAAAGAAGTGATAATTAGTTAATTTTTTTTTTAACAGATAACTTTACAAAAAAAAAAAAAAAGTGTTTTGGTAATTTATATAAAAAAGAAAAAATCAAAAGAAAAAAGTGATAATGATTTTTAATAAATATCCAAAAATTTTTATTTATAACATGTTTCATTTTCTTCTTTTTTGAAATTTAAGTTTTTTTTTTTTTTGAAAATTTTAACAAAAAATGAACGATAAATGTATTTTTCATCTGAAAAATACCCATTAAATTTCAAATAATTGTTTGATAATTTTAGACCAAAAGCCGCTAATTCGTTGGCTTATTGATAAAATAATTGTTAATGTGACAATGACAAAAATGTCACATTGGTCACATTGGCAGTATGAATTAGAACGAAAAGATAATATTGGTGAGCAATTAAAAGATAGGAAAAATCGAAATATTTTTGAGGGAACTCGTTTATTACTATCACATGCAATTATTGATCAAACAAAAAATGGTAATATCCTTCATTCTTCTGAAATTTTTAATTTTTATAAAAATTAATAGCAAAAATATTAAATTTAAATTTAAATTTGCATTAAATCCATTCATATTAATAGATTGTATGTGAAAACTCAAAAAAAAAAAAAAAAACTGTAATCATTGAATTTGAAATAAAAAATTTTTTTTGGAAAATTTCATAAATTAATATTATTATTAGTTTTAATTTTTTTATTTTTTTTTTGCATTAAATTTTTTATTTCATTTTTATAATAATTAAGTTTGACTTCTTTTCTTTTTCTTGAGCTGTAAATAATTTATTTGCATTTAATAATAATAATAATAATAATAATAATAATAATAATAATAATAATAATAATAATAATAATAATAATAATAATAATAATAATAATAATAATAATAATAATAATAATAATAATAATAATAATAATAATAATAATAATAATAATAATAATAATAATAATAATAATAATAATAATAATAATAATAATAATAATAATAATAATAATAATAATAATAATAATAATAATAATAATAATAATAATAATAATAATAATAATAATAATAATAATAATAATAATTTGTCTTCACATAATTAGGCTTAATTTTTATCAAATTACAATTAGTTATTTTAAATAATTAAAAAAATTCTTCTCAACAATGTATTTTATAGAATTTGTCAACAAAACGATAATCAAAAAATCACTAATGGAATTTTTACGAGAACTAATAATTGAATCAGTTGTTGCTGATGCAATATTTAGCATGGATTTAACAAATAATTGGATTAAATATGATTTTGATGATTTTAAAAAACCTCCGCAATCATTAATAATATTTCAAGGGTAAATGGCTTTGCTTTTAAAGTTTTTATTTTGCATAATTCAAATTTAAAATTTTAAAAATATCAACAATTATGTAATTTATTTATTTATTTTTGTGAAATTATTGTCGAATTAAATTAAAGATGCAATTGTTTATTTGAAAGATTTTCTTTTGTTAATTTAAATTGTTTTTTTTTTATTAACATTTTTTTTTTTTTTTTTTTGTATTTTACAAATGAATTTATAAAAATTTTGAAAATATAATTTAAAGCTGGACATGGTTGCTTAATCTTTTACGCATAATGTTTTTTATTGTTGGAGCATTTGTTATGCTAATAACAACATGCGCAATATGCGGTTTTGCATGCATACTATCATCCATTTTGCGCGACGATTATTTTCGTCGACGACAAAGACGAGAACAAGATGAAGCATTGCGCATTTTACAAGAGCGCTTTTATGAAGCTGGAATGGTTAGGAAAATTAAAATAAAATTTTAAATTTAAAATGTTACAGGATTCAAAATGAATTTTAAAAAACTTTCACTTATTAAATTCACTTATTAAATTTAAAAAAAAATTTTTTTTTTAAAAAACTTGAAATAATTTTTAAAAATATTTAATTTTACAATATTCCATATCAATTTTTTAAAAAATTCCAATCAACGGCTAATAATTGGTAATAATAAGTGTTAATCAAAATAAATAATTTGTGTTATTGATAACAATAAATTATAATAAGGAATTAAACTTCTTTAATTAATAATAAAAACAATAATTATTATTTTTATTATTAGATGTAATTCTGATATTGTCAATTAATTAAGCGTTATTTAAATTTCTCTCATTTTCTAATAATTAAATAAAATAATACCAACAAATAAATTTAAGTAAGCAATTCTTGTTAATTTTTTATTAATTTCTTTTGAAATTTATTTTAAAATTTAATTTCACTACAGAATATTCACTTTAATGCATTCAATGATCCGCCACCACAATTTGATAGACAAAGTAATAGTGAAACAAATACAGCTATTGAACAGTTAAGTACAGTAAGTTTTGAAATGAAATGGTAAAAGCTTAGTTTGAAATTTAAATTTATGAATGAAAAATAAAAGTTTCAAGTTTTCTCATTCTTTTGTTTTAAGAAATTATGGACAGTCTTATAAAATAATTTGATGACATTTCAAATTAATCGGTGGTTTTTTGCTAGACATTTTGTTTGTTAAATAATTAATAAAAATTCTTAAATTTGATATATTATAAAATATTCTCGAATTTTTGTTTCATTTTGTACAGATTTCAACTAAGAAAGAAAATTGAAAGTTAATTTAATTACAATTTAATTGTATTATTTTATTAATAATGTAAATTATTCATAATTAATTATTTAAACTGCTGCTAAATTTTTATGCATTTAAAGTTTTGCCTTTATTTAGAAAAAAATATTTGAATACTAAATTTTTTCTAAAATAATTATTTTGATTTCACAAAAAAAAAAAAAAATCGAATTTAAATAAATGTTTATCAATTTAGATATCAGAAGATGATTTAACTCAGTCAGATACAAATACATCATCAGAAATAATTTATCCCAAAGTGACACTTTCATTAACACCAAAACAGGTAATTGAATTATATTAATTTTTCTTATTCCTTTTTTTTAAAAAAAAATTTCTATTTTAAACAAATGATATTGGATCGAACTGAAAAAAAAAAAACAACTGAAAGCATTTTTGTATTTTATTATTTAACTTCCCTTCCTGCTGCCATTTTTTTATTTAATTATTCAAATTTTAAATTTCACAACTTAAAATATGGAATTTTCTTTTTTTTTTTGTTTGCTTGACTTTTATTTAATTCATAATTAAAATTTTGACTTTTTTTATTATTTTATTTGATTTAACTGCTGTTGTTATAGCATTTTGTTTTTCATATTTAAAAAAAAAATTTTTTGGTGAATGATTTTGTACAAAAAAAAAAATTCAAAATTAAATTCAAAAGTTTTTTCATATTTTTCTAATTATTAAAAACTAAAAAAAAATGTTAATTATTTATTAGAATTATTTTATTAAAATTTGTTGTCAACAGTGCTATGCATTTTATTGTCACTTAAAGATTGCATTGTGCGACACAGATGACAGCAAAACGGAAACAATCATTGAAACATGTCGAAGTCATACTGAAATCATACTGAATGATTAAATTATAATTTATAAATTATAAGTTGTAAATTATAAGTTAAAATTACAAATTATAAATTTCAAAGTTGATTTTTAAAACTTTTTTTTTGCATAAAATATCAAAAAACTTCGACAAAATGTTAGCAGATCAAGTCTAATGCAAATAAAAGTAAACAATTAAGTTCCAAATATATTTATTTTGAAATAAATTATATTTTTCCATCATTGGTAGAACTTAACTGGAACGGAATTTTGAAAAATTAAGACTTTCTTCTGTATTGAATTTATTAAAACTCCTAAAAATTGTCGAAATTTCTTAAATATCCGTCAAGAACTGTTACTAAAATTAATTTTAATAATAAAATATATTTATAATCTTTTATAATTGCAAATTTAATTAATTTCTACATTGAAAGTTTGCTTCAAAGTTAATTTTCAGAACTTTTTTTTTGCACAAAATGCCAAAAATCCTCGACAGAATGTAGGCAGATCAAGTATAATGCAAGTAAAACTGATCAATTAAGTTTCAAATATATTATTTTTATATGAATTACATTTGTTTAACATTATTGGTATTCAATTAAAACAGAATTTAGCAAAATTAAAAATTTTTCAGTATCGAATTTACAAAAACTCCTTGAAATTGTCGAATTTTTCTGACGGTCCATATTTAAATCTGTAATTAAAATTAATTTTATGGTAAAAAATTAATTGAAATCATTACTAATTGCAAATATTATTAATTTTTACATTGTAGAGTTGCTTCAAAGTGAATTTAAAGAACATTTTATTCTGCACAAAGATTATTTTATAGTACTGTGAAAATTGCTTCAATTCTGCAAGTACTAACATTTCTTAACTTCGTAGAAAGCAGTTTCAAATAATGACTTTCAAACTTTTATATCACTTTTACAAGCAACCTTCTCTTAGATACAAATAGAGTTAGTTGGAGATAACCTGTTTAGTGGTTGGTTCTGTTAGGCAGATTTTAACATAGCATGCCGGTTAGAACAAAGAAAGGTAAAAATAAAAACCTGATGTACAAACATAACAAGTTGCTTGCAGTTGCCTTGCAAAAAAAAAAAAAATAATCAGCACTAAAAGAAATGACCAGTACTAAAACAGAGGAAGCCATCCCTTGTCGCGAATTCCAATACCGCAAAATCCTGAATAAAATAAATTTGTGAAAAAAGTATTAATCACATGGACTGCAAATAAATTCCGACTTCCCGGCCTAGAATTTACAAAGGTTTTTGTTCCTAGTGTATCGAATGAAGAAGATATGTTGTTGTTTGTTGTAAAATATGTTAACCATCGACTAACAAAGGAAAAATCAATACATAACACCGTTTTTCTTCCAACAAAGGAAACAAAGGAACAAACAACAGCGAAATTATTACTCTTTTTTACTGGCTGCTCGATGTGCTGCTATTTTTCATCTTCAAAATCGTATTATATCAATAGAGGTCCAATAATCTGGTGACTGCCGTCCCATAAACTGAGCTTAATCGATCACAATAATTTTGTTTAAATAGTAAACAAAAAAACACCACTATTACTATATCACTAGCAATAGTAAGATATATTAGAACAGCTAGGTAAGCCTTTTAAATTCATGTTTGTTCGTGATCCTTAACAAAACCTTTCAAAATAAATTCACGACATCCTTTTCCGATTTTGAAACTATAACTGAGCTTCCGAAGAAATAAGATTCTCGTAATAGTTGGTGTTACGCATTAAATAGAATTAAGAAAATTAGAAAATGAACGAGAATATAGCGAGAAAAAGCAATCATTTGTAATAATTCAATTAGACATTAGTAATGTTTTATCCAAGGTTACTCTAAAATGAAAATGACACACTTCATTGAATGCATAAACGATATGAACTAATATGAATCTAATCAGTAATCAGTAATGTTTGAAAAATATTATATTTTTGCTCTCGTAATTTGGCAATAGCTTTACTGATTGTGTAGGTGTCGCATAATATTATCGAAAATTTAAAATAATTTTAGCAAAAAATCTGTAAAATTCTTTAATGATTAATCACATAAAGGCTCGCAATGCTCTCATGCTAAATACTCGCCTAACATTTCCTATTTTCCCATCATTGTTAATCTTATATTTACTAGTTACTGTTATCTGTCAGTCCTGTTATTCATCCTCTCTGCATAACTGTCCTCCTTGTATTCGGTTGTGTTGTAGCACAAGATTGGATGGCAAAAAGAGAAATAAAACATTCGTTCCCTTCGATTATACTGTATGATCTTTTTGTAAATGACATATAGGAAGGTAAATTTCGCGAAGATGAGACTTCCTTTTGTTTTGAAATGTTTCATTTTTGGTACATTTAATCACGTCTTGTCCTGTTTATGAAATAAGTGAATTGCTGCTCTTTCATTTGCTTTCCTAATAATTGCAACAATTAGATTTCGGTTTCGTATTATTTCCAACTGCCAATGATCGAAAAAATTTTTTTTACTCATAATTTCCTCTAACCTTCTACAAAAAAAAAAAAAAACACCATCCAATTATTTTAAAACCTTTTTCACTCCAACAAATATTGCGTTTATGCAATACAATAATGCGCAAAGTGAATCATATTATCAATCTATCTCATACTTTCGCTTTTTAACTGAAATGTTTCATTTTTAATAAGGTGTAGTCCTGCTTATCCTTTTCAAAAATAAGGAAATAGTTGTGCCTACTTCTCCACTACTAGCAGCCACCTGCAGAACTGTTAAAAAAATAGAAAAATTGAACTGAGAAAGATTTTAATATCTCACATTAACTTATAGTAAAGCGTATGATTACAGTGAGTAGTGCGAGCTGATGAATTTATATATCGTTGCTTACAAGTGAATGTCAAATTAGCAGGCCCCTTACAATACTTAAAAAAAAAAAACTATTTTAAAGTCAAAGTATATATTTTTACTGTAAGGAAAACAAATATTTTAAAAAAGAAGATAAGCTTTTAGCTCAATTGGCCTTTTTTTTTTAAATATTCTACTCAAAATATTGGGTGTACCCTCTTCATCCGCGATATCTAAGTAGTAATTAATATAGTTGGATGATCAGAACTCTGAAATGAATTATGCAGGATTCACTTATGTTATTCATTTCTAAGTTTGAATGGGTTTTAGGTCGAAATGCGTAGGCTGATCTAATGCCATATATTTTAATCGCTATTTGGTAAAATAATTTTTTAGCAAAAATTAAACATTCAAACATTTTTCTTCTTTCATATTCGCATATTTGTATATTCAAAATTTATTAAGCTATAAAACAAATATGTTATAAGTTAAAACTTAGTGTAATAAATATCATAAGAATAATAAATATCATAAGAAATCAAATTTAATTATTATCAAATCGGAAATGAAGCAGCGCTAGCGATATGGCACATGTTTCCTCTGTTTCGTGCCATATAAACATACCCATCTTTTCCCCAATCGGTACCCCAACTGAAAAAATTTCAATTGGTACTAGCATTAGTGTAAAGCAATAAACTGATGTCCATTCCATCTTAATTCATTTCAAATGAAATTTTTTAAAGAAACCATAATAAAATAACAGTTCAGCAGATGAATTGCGGCAAACCTGTTTTTAACAATCCAGTAATCCCCATAAGAAGGATGCGTTCCGTAACCAACCGCCAGTACTGCGTGATCAGGACGACCGCAGTTTCCTTCAGAGTAAACACCTGAAATATCAGATACTGAGGAATGGAAATATGAAACAGAGATAAGAACAAATATGGTTACATCAACACTATTATAGCGATAGTCGAATAATGATGATATCAACTATTCTCTAACTTGTGTTGACATATAAATTATAATATACCGTCTTTATAAAATCTGAACGAGCGTTTCGATCCGGAAATTCCAACAACGACGGGTCCACGTTTGGCTACGGCATGCTTAAGTGCTAATTCGTCACCCGGCTGTATTTCATTAAAACCATTGTCTGTAACAACAGCGATGCTTTGTTGCCATCTGCATCTTTGTTCAGTTCCAACGTACGGATATCTCGATTCCATTGCAATTCCATATCTTGATGCATATTGGAATGCCTGAAAATCTTCTTAAGCTCATAAAATGAAACAAAAAGCAGAACTTGCAGATTCATATAATTAATAATAATTTATAAAGGAAGGTTAGATAATAACCGTGGGCATATAGCCTCCGCTACAACCATTGTTACCGAGGTTCCGCGTGCAGTCAACAATGTTTTGAGGGGATAAATCAAGAAGTCTTCCAGTCATCTGCTTATGATAAGCTTCCAGTGCTGCAGCTGTAGCGAATGCATAGCAACTACCGCACTCACCCTGCAAAATCAGTTTTCATTAGATGTCACTTTTTTATCAGTCCATCAGCCTCTAAAAAATTAATCCATCTATTTAGGACGATTCAAATGCAAATAAACCAAATTTAGATTCTAAACTTCAATGCAAACAATCAGTACGCAGTGATGCACTGCTGCATTGCTGCAATCGATATGCCGTGATCAGTCATGAAAACTTCAGCAGGCTCCCTGCATATCCTTGATCACGTCACATAGTCGAAGCCCAAATCAGCATAAAATTATGGACAAGAAGATGTAAGTTATAAGTCACATAAGTCCTACTTGATTTCTGACGGGTGTAACGGCACCTCTCGTTCTCCAATCAACTAGATCTGGCAACCGTTCCCTTGGGTCATACCTATAAAACCTATTAGCCTGCCTTTTCCCACGAAGATCAGTTTGATTGGGCAGTCGAAGTCCATTCATCACCATAAATTCTTCATCGGTCTAAAATTGAATCAAAACGAAGGAGTCAAAATTAACAATTTCTATTTAAAAAGATCAAAATCATATATCGTTATCCCATTTCCCATTTTTTCTTCAAAATCCATTTCACTTTACTTACCAAATCAGCCAAGTCATTGAGGGCCGTTGTATAAGAAACTAAGCCTTGTTCATATTTTTTATTTATCTTTTCCGTCATTAATTCGTTGCTTTCAAATATTGCCATTCTAAAATTGTTTTCCTTTTGATCGTAATGTTTTCCTGCAAATTGCAAGAATTATTTCACAGCAATTTTGCTCTTTCATCTAAAATTTTAGTTCTACAAAAGAAAAATTTAAAACTGAAATGAAAATGCACACAGAACAGAGTTACTTTTCTGAAGTATCAATGATGGAAAACTGTACCGAGAGCGGTTACATAATCTTTCCATTCGGTTTCTAATTTTTCCATTGCTCGTTGCTCGCCATTGTCCTCCATTTTTTTCAAGAATTCTTGCACAACGGTCGATTCCCTGTTGAAATTTACAGCATATTATGGATGAATTTTTGAGAGTAAAAAAAATCTCTACCTATTTTAATTTAAGTTAGATATTTTAATATATTTTACTAAGATAGCTCCAAAGAAAACTATGCAATCTGTTTTCAATTTCCTACGGGATTAGAGGAATTTATGAATTGAACTATTCGTCTTGTTATTTCATTAATTTTCAGATTCTGTGCCTTTATGCTGCATTCCGAGAGTGCTTTATTAGCCACCCATAAAAAGAAAAATGCAACCAGAAGTGTTGAAGGTAAGCCAAATTATGTTATAAGTTTCAAATGCTTTATTCAGTGAGTGCCATCAGAATTCTGCAATAGAAATCATATGGTACTCAGTGAAATAGAATCGTGCTCACCCTTGTTGTCCTGAAAATATGATAATTCATAATTTTTAAATCTAACTTTTCTGCTACAATAAATTCAGATGAAAATTAATTTAAGTGGTTTGCTTCATTCAAAAGGTTAAAATTTGAAGTGAAATAAGAACGAAAATGAAACCATCGCCATATTCCTTCAATGCACTTCTGAAATCGGACGCAAGTCTCGTCATATTGCCCTGTTTGTAATCTTTGTTAAACTTTCCTAGAACTTCTTTCAGCTGTTCTATTTCGCTGAAAATTGTTTTATTCATAACACGTTTAAGCCTTGGTTTTTCTTGCCGAATTATCGGTTTTTCTGCTGGTTTTCTGATGACTGCAGATTATGCATGCAGATGTTACGACTGCATTTTTGCTTGAGAATATGCATGCTATGACTCGAGAAGTGGCAATTCTCAGGTAATTTGTGGCTGTTAATTTCTCTAATTTCCTATATTGCGACTAAACTTCACTAACATAAATTCAGCATGCGATAGAAACTGCTTAATTTCGAGATAAATTTTGCAGAGAGGACGAAAAAATCTGTTGAAAACTCACCCAGCAACAGCGAAATCGGCTAGGATGGCGAATACCGCCAATTGCGCAATTGTCCACATCAGTGCGATGTCTAAGTTTTCTAGATACTGCAGAACCGTTATTCATTCTCCTTAAATAAGAACGAAAGTCTGTTGATACAGCTTGATTATCAACCAAATACGGTGCCACTGTTGACTATATTTTGAAAGGAATTTTCTTCTGAGAAATGAATTTCTGAAAACCAAATGGGCAGAAACAAATACTACTGCAAACAATAATATCCGTCCAGTAATAATCAAAATGGAAGCGTTGATGGAAAATTATTCATTGAATTAATAAAAATTTATACTGGCAGCTTAGAAAACAGTAAGACTGCAAAACAAACGGACAATTCAATTTTTTGATCTAACCGAAACTTATACAGACAGTCCAGTTTGAAAATATTCCATTTATGGCAAGCTAGGCAGCTTCTTTTTCAACAACAAATCTTTCTTCCCATACTTAGAATATTTATTTTAAATATTTGAGGTATCGCGGATTTTAATAATACCAAACTTTAAAATGTAGGAGTGGAAAATGTGGGTAAAAAACATGTTCTATGAGTCCTTTACGATTAATGCATATACAATAAACTCACTGTTCTAATCACGTTTAAACTGTAAATGTTTTATAAATTGTTCCCAATAATATCTATACCTCTTTGATCCCAATATTATCTTTTTACTGTAGATCGTTTATCTTATTTCTAATAATATTTGTAGCTTAAACTCTTTGTTTCCAGTTTTATGTTTCTATCGCAAATCCTTTATACTTGTTTCCTACTTCATATTTATTCCTTAAATTACCTCTCCGTTTCTTTGTTTACATTATGAATGTGACTATCCTTGAAGACTAATAAGAAATTCATCATATATATCATGTATATGTATAATGCGCTAAAACAATTGTAGAACCAATTTGTGCCTTTCTTCCTTATAAATTTTATTATGCTGTTTTTTTTGTTAATAAAAGAGATATTCCTGTGTTACTCCAGATATTTACTTCTATATCAAACAAATATCCCCGAAATCAGCAATTCTCTCCCAAAAATAAATTTTTCAACTATAAATTGGTGTCGGAAAACCGAAAAAAAAATTTATTACACATTAAATATTTAAAATATTTCTAATGATTCATCACTCTGCATCAATTCGTTATTCATTTATTATTTCCCATTTTTGAACCAATGAATTCTTTAAACCTCAAATCGTAAATGTGCAGATGCCTAAATATAAATGTACATCTACTAAGCCAAGTCCACTTTCTACATTTTTAAAAACCCTCTCTAATCGGTTGATGAAAAAGAAAAATCAGCTTGGAGTCTTTTCACCTCACTACTCAATACTGCCATGCATGCATTCATCCGCTGTTTTTATTATTCAGTTATATGTTGTGTTTCATTATTTGAAGGAAAATAAATGATAACCGGCTCGATCTTGCTCGCAGACAATAAGCAAAGGGTTCAATTTAAGTTCCACAAACTTAAAGTAAACCCAGTGAACTTAATTAACACAAATCATCTAACTCTTCTGACTAAAATGTTATTTCAAAATCACGATAACTGGGTGCCATGAGCCGGAAAGTTTTTGCATTCAAAGCGCACGACCGGAAAACGAAAAACTAGAAGCTCTTCCCAAAGAATCCAAAAAATGGTGACTTAATTTTAATTTTTCGAAAATGGTCTAACGCCTTAAAAAAGGCGAAATAAAAGAGCAACCAACTCAAATAACATATATATATATATAAACGGTTAACTTACCCAGATATTCATTGATAATCCTAAACTGTGAAGAGGATTCTGGTGCCTAGTTAGCCATAAAAGGTTATGATATAAATCCAGAAAATTATAATGTGATAAAACTCCTTACTAAAAAAAAAAAAAAACTCCTTATTAAAAAAATTCCTTACTAAAAAAATTTACTCTGTCCAAAATCCAGGCTGGTAGTCATAAATCACTAAAAAATCGCTCAGTAATGAGTTACATTCCGTTAAGAAGAATGACTGCGAATAGATGATAACAGTCGAAGCCACTGAATGAACATTTCGATAACTTGAAGCAATGGGTGAAAATCTCGAACAATCTAGCATTGAAATTATAAATGAAAAAAAAAAAAAGAGAATTGCCCACCTGGATTCTGGACAGAGTATATCTATGAAAAGAGGAACAAGAAATATAGTTAGTAGTTGAGCTAAGATTTTTTTTTTTTTTTGATCCCAACTGCTAATTTTAATAATAAATTGTCTAAATCATCTAAATTGCAAATTTAAATTACGAAAACTATTCAAAAATGAAAAGGAATAAAGTTGAAATTATTAGCAGAACTAATTCAAAGAAACGAAAAAGTTACAAGAAGTCAATCTATTGATATCATGAAAGAGGAAAAAGTAACTAAATGTGAAATTAGTCCACGAGCTAATCTACGATATTTTACAAAAGGAACTTCGACTCTATAACAACACTTCAAACATATACAAAAGCTAATATGAAAAAGATTAAAAACCAAAGATCTTGTAATAAGAATCTCTGAAATAATGAATGCCAAATTTATCGTAATCTAGAACGAAGAATGCAACGATTGAAAGAAAACAATGCCTGTCTGAGCTGTCTTCAACCAGGACATACAGTTGAGAGACAAACAAACATTTATGTTTCTATTACAAAGATCATCATAATACTGATCGAGCACAATCAGTTAGGGTCAATCAAAGAACATACAAAAGAAATCAGTCCAATAATAAAACATTGCAGATGAAATGAAAGGGAAGTTTTGCTTTTTAGCAAAGCGGTTGAAGTAATTAATTAATTAATTAATTAAACATGCTGGACATTTTAATTGAGCAACGTGTATATCGAAAAAGCTAGCAAAAAGATTAAACCTGTCGATTATTATGAGCAAGCGAAAACAATAGGAATCCTCAAATATATCTTTTGCCAAAATGTGAATTGAAATAAAAATATGGAAGCAAGTATTACATCTATTGTAGCTGCACTAGTCGACTATTTAACCAACAAACTAAGGAAAATATCTGTAAATCAAGACAAGAATCAAAAATTTCAACTCAGTTTCCAAAATGAAAAATTGAACTTAGTTTGTAACACAGAGAAAAGTAGCAGTTGGAACAATTTGAGTTAATTATCGGAGTTGACTACTATTTCTTCAAGTTTATCTCTTTAGAGAAATCCCTAATTAACAAAATAGTCGGTCCCATGATTGATGGAAGTGGATACAGAGATAAGCATAGTAATCGTCAACGTGGTAATCACCACAACAAGATGGTAACATGTAGCACATGTTGTTCCGTTCAGAACACTGTTACATCTATTAATATTGACATTCCAGAGATTGATCGATTCCGGAAGTTGGAATTAATAGGAATACAATAACAACCTAATCTCATGATGATGAGCAAGTTTTAGAAAAGTTCAAAAAAAAAAAATATCATAAAAAACAATGGTAGATACCAAATTGCTTGGCCATGGAAAGAATTAAGAATCCAACAATTTCGGACTGTGTTTTGCTTGCCCAGAACTCTTAATTAAGTGACTTCAAAACGATGAATGTTTGACTTAAATATGATGAAATGATTTGCTACCAATTACAATCTAACATTATCGAGAAAGTAATATCCAGAGATGAACCAGGTACATTACCTATCTCACTATGAAGTTACAACTCTAAACAAGACTACAACCGAAATTTTTTATACTGTTTTATTATATTGTTGCTTCTATTAACAAAGGGAATATATTTCTGTATTACTCCATACATTTATATCTACATAAAACAAATTTTCCCAAAATCAGCAATCCTCTCCCAAAATAAAAAATTTTTCAACTACAGAAGATGTGATCTTTTCATCACTTTTTTTTAATATTAGTCGTTCCATACACTAACAACAGATGTTTTATTTCTCAAATTTTGAAGACAGTAATTCTATTCAAAATCTTCATCACTATCATATAGTATTGTTTGTGGTTTAAAGAGCTGATCGAACTTACAAAGAT